TGGGGGTGGGTGGGAGAGCCTCCCTCCCTCCCTCCATCTCTTTGCCATCTTTCCCTCCTTTCCTTTTCTTTCCCTCCTTTTCTTTCTCTTTTTCCCTTCCTTCCTTCCTCTCTTTCCCCTTCCTTCTCCCTTTCTTTCATTCCCTCCTTTCCTTCTCTCCTTTTCCTCTTTCCATCCTTCTTCCCTTCTCTCTCTTTCTTTCTTTCCCTCCTTCTTTCCTTCTCTTTCTTTCCCTCTTTCCTTCTCTTTTTATCCCCTTTCTACTCTCTCTCTTTCCTTCCCTCTTTCCTCCTTCTGCGGCCCAACTCTTTGCTTCCCCCCCCCCCCCAGGCCCGCTGGGAAAGGGAAGGGGAGGCTTTTGAAGATGCCTTCCCCCCTTTTGCTCCCCCCTCTGACATCACTTCCGGTGATGTCAGGGGGCGTGGCATATGCTAATCGCCTCATAGCTCATTAGCATACCATATGCTAATGAGCTCCTGCAGCTCTTTTTCTACGAAAAGACCCCTGATTATTACTAAAAAGAAACCGAGAGAGATGTGAAATTCTGAAGTTTTACTCATCCTATTTTCTCCCCGTATACTCTAAATTGCTTGGTTATGGACGGGATCACGTGGATGGCTCTTTCCTCCAGTTCAAGGAGGACTCCCCAACTGCACTGGCTGCCTATCGAATTTCGGGTCCATTTCAAGGCGTTGGTAAGGTAAAGGTTTCCCTTTCTCGAAAGCCAGTCGAATCCAACTCTAGGGTTGCGGTGCTCATCTCCATTTCAGCCAAAGAGCCAGCGCTGTCCGAAGACGTTTCCATGGTCATGTGGCCAGCATGACTAAACACCAAGGCGCATGGAACGCTGTTACCTTCCCACCGAAGGGGTACCTATTTATCTACTTGCAATTTCTTGCTTTCAAACTGCTAGGTTGGCAGGAGCTGGAACTAGAGACGGGAGCTCACTCCGTCATGCGGCACTCGGGTCTTGAAGAGAGAGAGCTGTGAAAGAGGTGAGTGGGTTTCTTTTACTTGCTTTCAGCTGAGAGAATTCAGCTAAGGATATTTTGTGGGAAAACTGTGTTTAGCAGTGTGTGGAAGCACTTAGAGTTCTTGCAGAGTCCTGGCTGATTGAGTGTGGGAGAGGAACGGGCATTGTTTGACTGGGATTGCCTGTAATTGAGAGGAAGTGGAAGGGGCATTGTTTTGCCTGTGATTGAGTGCCTGGGTGAATTTGAATTTGAATAGCTGCTGCCTGACCTCTGCTGGGGGAGGCCTCTATTTAAGGAAGCACCTTGCCAGAGGCACGAAGGGCGAGCTAAAGGGCTCTTTGCCTGTGGCTCTTAGCCTAGGGACTCTTAGACTAGGGGCTCTGTAAGAAGCCCAAAAAGAGCCAGAAAGACAAGGCCCTAGGCTCTTTGTCTTTCCCGTAAAATAATTTGACTTTGATAACAAAAACCACATAAATACCAAGGGTTTAAAAGGGGGATTATATTTATTTATTTTAAAAGAATTATGAAGCCAGAATGCCAGCAGGGGGTTGGGGGCTATCCAGTGTTTTGCACGGAGTGTCACATGTATGACTATCTGCCCACTGGGCAGAAGTCTTGGGTGTGTCCTCGGTGCAAGGAGCTCCTGGTTCTCAGGGAACGTGTGTGCTCCCTTGAGGCCAAGGTGGCTGACCTGGAGAAGCAGAGACAGTCAGCTAGGCACACAGAAAAGACTCTCGGGGACTTGTTAGCTACGTCCCACTCTGGATCTGGCAGCCCCGCTGCTGTCAGGGAGCATGAGGGTCTAGGGGAAACAGGGCACCGTGCTGAGGATAAGGGGAATGTGCCCTCAGAAGGGACCTCTTCCCCAGCTGGTGAGCGGCTCTCCTTTTGCACCAAGGAACCATCCCTGAGCAGGGTGGGAGGGGGGCTCTTGGTAGTGGGTGATTCGATCCTTAGGCAGGTAGACAGCTGGGTGGCGAACCCGCGTACTGACCGTATGGTGACTTGCCTGCCTGGTGCGAAGGTAGCGGACATTACGCGTGTTTTAGATAGGCTGGTAGATAGTGCTGGGGAGGAGCCAGTGGTCGTGGTGCATGTCGGCACCAACGATGTGGGGAAATGCAGTCGTGAGGTCCTGGAGGAGAAATTTAGGCTGCTGGGCAGGAAACTTAGGTCCAGGACCTCCAAGGTAGCCTTCTCAGAAGTGTTACCTGTTCCACGCGCAGGGCCGGAGAGACAGGCAGAGATCAGGAGTCTCAATGCGTGGATGAGACGATGGTGTAGGGGGGAAGGGTTCAGGTTTGTTAGGCACTGGGATACTTTTTGGAACAAGAGGGAGCTGTACAGGCGAGACGGTCTCCACTTGTCCCGAGAAGGAACCAGGCTGCTGGCACTTAAAATCAAAAAGGTGGCAGAGCAGCTTTTAAACTGAATATTGGGGGAAAGCCGACAGGAGATGAAAAGTCTCTGGTTCGGGTTGGCTCATCTGAGAGAGGTGAGGGGGTACCGGTTGCTTTTCTACAGGGAGGTGGATTGAAATTGTCCACAGAGGCCATGGCTGGTGACATGGACTGCCGGACAACGACTCGAGATAGCAAGAGGAAGGATGCAGGCTTAACTTGTAAGGGAAATTACAGCTGTTTCTATACAAATGCTAGAAGTGTCCGAGGTAAAATCGGGGAGTTGGAGTGCTTGGTGTCGGAGGGAAAAATAGACATTGTGGGTATTTCTGAAACTTGGTGGGATGAGGAAAATCAGTGGGACACAGTGATTCCCGGTTATATATTATATCGGAAGGATAGGGGGGGAAGGGTTGGAGGTGGGGTAGCTCTGTATGTCAGAGAGGGTATAAAGTCTAGAAAGATTGAGAGGCTAAGTGAATTGGATTCGCTTCTGGAAGTTCTATGGGTTGAAATAGGGGGGCCAAAAGGAAACTTAACACTGGGAGTTTGTTATCGCCCACCAGATCAAAAGATAGAGGAGGATTATAAAATGATGAATGCCTTAAAGATAGCAACTAGACAAAAACACTGTGTAATAATAGGTGATTTTAACTACCCACACATTGATTG